AGGAGGATGGTCCTGCTGGTGATCCTGGAGGTGATAGGTTGGTTTCCAGGAAATATGGGACCCTAAATCATGATGCTTAAGCTCTTAATGTGAGGTCTGAAGACAAGATGTCATGTGCATGCTGGGAAGCGAGGTGATCGATAACGAGGCTTCCTGTTCCAATCTGCCAGCAGAATTGCCCTGACCCTGCTGAAGTTAGTTTACAGTAGCTCAAGAAGAGGCCCAGCAACAGATCCCACTATGTGAATGTATTTTGTATCCCACCTAAATCATCCTATTCAGCCATTTATCCAGGAAAACAATCAAGGACACCTGCAGATTTGCAGCTACATTTGTTACCAAGCTGAGCAGCAGACTCCCAGGGGCTCCCCTGCAGCGCTCGTGGCAGGAGAGTCTTGGAGACAGGGGCTCCTACGTTAAACCAGGGATGGGAAACCAGTTTCATGAAATAATAGCTCTGCTGGGGTGCTAATTACAAGAAGTTGCTGAATATTTAAGGAGACATTTAGGTGGGCCTGGGACATGTGTCACCAGTGCTGCCCCTCATGCACAAAGGGTTGGACGGATGGAGCACCAAGCCACCTCCAGCTACACCTCCACTTGAGCCCTGCTGCCCCAAATCTGCCTCGTGCTATGTGATTGCGAGCCTTCTCTCTCACTCCATATTGCTGTCGGAGGAGGTGGCTAAGCACAAAGTCACTGCACGTGAGGGCCAATCCTCTCACCATTTTGTGTTTCCAGTAACTTTCAGAATGACGGGGCAGCCAGCACTTTTGTCGCGTGACCACAGCAGTTTCCAGGCACCTGCTGTCAAGCAGCCAGGGACTCAGCCCATGGCGATCCCAGAGAGGACTCTCTGCACCGCTCAGCATGCAGCCTGGCCTGAGACGAATCAGTGTTTTCCAGCGACCGGAGATCATGTTTTCCAATCTGGGCCGACCCTCTGCTTCTACTTCCTGCTTTTTCAGTAATTGTTTGGGAGGGTGTGGGGGTTTTTTTCTGCTCCTGTGGTCCTTTTGGGGAGAATGTTGGAGAGGAAAGCAGCAGCCCCAGGGTGGTAGGATGCCTGCTGAAATGACGCAGACAAGCAGAAGAAACATCTCCTGTCCAGCACCCTGTCTGCTCGGCCAAGCACTTCCTTCCAGCACAAACTTGGGCCCCAGACCACATCTGCTGCTGGGAGACGCCCCCATGGCTAAGCCTGCATGGTCCTCCATGAATGCTGGGCCTCTGCGCAGCACTGAGTGCAAGCACCAGGAGCACCACACCAGCTCCAGATGCACACTAAGCTCTGAGTCTCTGGGCCATTTAGGTATTTTGCATTAAACTGTAACTATGAGAGATAAACCATAAATTGTCCTGTGTGCAGTGACCAGCGGCTGGGGCCCACTTGCTGCCTTGGTCACTGCCCTCGTGGCTCTGCGTCACAGGGAAGGGGGGAAATGTCACCAGTAGTCCAGCAGCAAGGCCAGCCTCTTCAGGACCATTAGATGTCAATTTTTCCCCAGGGAGGTCAGCTGTTTGGGCCCAGAGCTCACCTGCTTGGATTCAGAAGCCTCTCCACACAGAGGACTTCTAGGTGGGCATCAGCACAGCTCCTGGCAGCCTGTGAGGATCCTCTGCAGAGGGGACAAGGGACCTGCAGTGCTCTCCCAGCCACTGCCATCTCCCACCGTCTCCCAGAAACCCCCCTCTCCACAGCATGTGCACATCCCAAGCAGTGCTGGGCTGACACACTTCCCCAGAAGTGCCTCAGAAATCACAGAGGTAGATCAGGAAAACAAATCTGTCTTCGGCAAGCAGAAGATACAAATTCAGATGCTCCTGTAGGGAGGAAGGAAGCCCATGTCTTCACACAGGTGCTCAAACTGCCCCACTGAAGGTGCTTGACATCATTGCTGTCCTTCTGGAGCACTTCAGACTGGCGAGCCCCGATCTGGGTCGAGTGCTTTGCCTTGGGAGTGACGCAGGATCCTGTATACAGTGAGGTGCTGTTGGCAGCCCTGGCCCAGGCACCCCAGCACCTGCAGACTGCGATCCCTGACACATGCCTCATCCTTACCAGCCCACGGCAATGCCCTGCTGCATGAGCAGAGTTTTTGCATCGCCCCTGCCTCCTCTGTCCCTGATGCTGGGTTTCAGAGCCTGTGCTGGGAGAGGGACACATCACATATAAGACCCCAGGGCTCCCACTGCAGCTGTGCTCCCTCCAACCTGCTAGGCAGCCCCCGAGGGAGGCACCGGAAATGCACATACGCTGCAGTGCATGCCCAGGCAGGAGCGCACACACTGAGGATCCAGACTGTGGTGACCTCAGAAAATTGTGGGTTGTGGTTTGTCCACCGGGCTATGACATCACTGTGATGACAGAAGTCACCTAGCCGATCCGAACTCAGCGCTGGACATTCTGGGCTTCCACTTTCCATGGAATCACTGAGCTGGCAGCGGGATCAGGCACCCTTCTTGGTCCTTCAAGATGAAACTCTGCGGCTCGGCACCTCCGCTGGGGTCAGCTTGAGGCAGATGGCATCAGCACGGGGGCACACCAGCTCCCCGCCCACGAGGACTTCTTTGGCATCCAAGGGGACTTTTCACCTCCCATTGGCCTGAGCCCATTTTAGGAGTGGAAGGGCAGGGGGGGGATCAGGTCTCCGCCTCTGCACCCTCCCCTTATATCATCCCTGCCCCAGGCATCCAGAGCAGCAGTGAGCAGCCAGCAGCAGCGAGTGCAGCCAGCAGCCAGCTCCACAGCCTGACTCTGAGCCTTGGGATTGTACCTGGGATCCACAGCAGAGAGTAAGTCCTTTGTGCCTCCTGTCTATGCTGTGAAGCTCGGTGCTTTGCCCTCCCTGCCGTGGGACTAAGGTACTAACCTTTCCCTCTTCTCCCACGCTTCTGCCCGCTTTGCTTCTCCCTCCCATCTCACTTGTTGCAAGTCTGGCTAGGGTGAAGGCTCGTTGTTACTTATGAGACAGAGAAATAGTAAGTGTAAGTACTAAAATATGGATTCTCCTACTAAGTAAGTGACAGATTTTAACTCCACCTTGTAATAATTAAAATAGAGAATAAATCAAACTGCTGTTCCAGCAGCAACAAGAAAGATGACAGCTCCAGCTAGGGCTGGGGACCACAAGAACGTGCGTCTGGCAATTGCATTCTGACAGCTGTGTCCAATTTCTGTCACTCATCCCCCAAACTTCAGGACATGAACTCGAAGTGCAAGCAGTGACTCCCATCCCCTCCTCCCCAATCTGGACATACGTCTTCAGCACAAAAGCATCCTAACCCCTAGGATTAGGCACCAGGATCTATATTAAGTTTAGCACTTCCTGTCCCCCTCCTCTCCTGATTTTACCTCCCTTAGAAGGAAACGATTTTCTCCTGAATCACAGGATAAACATTGGATTATGATACTCTTGGCCCAACTGCATTGGCAAAGCACCCTTTCAAAGCCTGGTACCTATGTCTCGGACAACTCCTGTGCCCAACACACTGCTGGAGTTGCCATGTTGAGCACCTGCAA